TCGCTGGCCACCTCCTCACCCAGCGACTCGTGGCCCTGCCTTGCAGCTGGCCGCCACCCAGCCGCGCACCCCCTTCCCTCCGGAGCTGCCCAGCGTGCCCCGACTAACCACGCACCCTGCCGCCGGCCTGAGCCCCGGTACCACCCGCATGCCTCGCCCGAACACCCTTTGGCATCAAGCTCCATCTATGCCGTGGTGGAAACCAGCATCGCAGGTGCCATCTTCTTCTGGGCACCTCCACCCCGAGCTGCAGCCCCCGTTGCTCCTTCCTGCAGCCCACAACCAACCACCTCGTCCCTCACCTGCACCGTGACCTGCTCCCATCCACGTGCTGCTGTCCCAGCCCTTGGCCATTCCATCTGCCAGCATTGCAATCCACTCCCGTCTTCTCTCAACCGAAAGCCACTTCTGCCCGTGGAAGCCCCAGGAACTCCCAGGTCACACTCCCAACCCACTCAGACTTGTGATTTTATTTCCGTCTTCCCTCCTGTTAAAGGAGGGTTATCACCGACTGGATGGAAAAAACTAATTATCCACTATCTGAAAGCCAGCCCTTGTTACCTACCTGCAAAGGTCGTACGTCTGTGCAGCATCGCAAATGGTCGCTCCTTCCGTATTGTGGTTTCATAGAAAAATGAGCAGCTTCTCACACTGTGCAGCATCATATGTTCCTGTTTCTAAGGGAAGAGAATGTGGAAAGTCGTAGTATGTGTCTGTGTGGGAAAGCCACCATCAGTGGATGCCATGCCAGGGACAAAAGAAAGTTGAGGCCGACGTCCTTAAGGGTGTTTGTGCACCTTAATTCTCATGGCCCCTGCAGTGGACGACAGCTAGATGATGGAGCCGAAACAGATTAATGGGCAAAAATGTGCAGCATAAAGGGTTGTACAAGACAAGGCTGAACTGAGCAGAGGGAGAGGAGCAACTTCTCATTGTGGACTAGTCTTTGGAGAAAAATCTCTTACTGAGGATGTGAAAGAGGTAGGCCAGTCCAAGGTCTAAGATGAAAGACCACTTCTCCACCTCCTCAGTGAATCTCAAACTGACTCCCAGAGTTAAAGCTTGCTTATTTTACTGAAATGGAATATGGTGCACGCTCCAACCCGTGATGTTAGTGGCCTGCAGGATTGACACTGAGAGTCAGAGTTGTAGAGGCGTCAGCTGGAAGAGCCATGGGGAGGTCTCTAGTTAATCTCCCTTCAAGCAGCGCTGCCAGCAGCATTAGGCTGGGTTCATGGTCCTGAAATCACCCCAGCCTGGAGATTCCCCCCAGCCTGGGTAACTGGTGCTCACCGGCACCTGGAGGGGTTTTCCCTGCTGTCCAGCCTGAACTCCAGGACCTCGAGCATCTCGGTAATCCTGTGCTGGCTCTCTCCAGTTTCTCCCCATCCCTCTTGAACTGGAGGGAGCTCAGATTAAATCTTTATTCAAGGCGAGGCCCCAACAGTGCCAAATACAGGAGGAATGGTAATTTTTCCTCCCGTAGCCAGCATGCCACTTGCCCAGTTTATGGTGAGGTGGCACCACCAGCTCATACTCAACCATTTGACTTTTTTCTCTGGGCAAATCGTGTCCCTGTGTACCTGGTGAGATGCCTTCATCGCCTCTAGTGGCTTGGCCTTGTTAACCATAACCGTGAACTTGCCAGGGAGATGAGTTAGAAAGGGGACTGTGCTAAGATGCATTCTGCTCTCTATCCATACCTCACTCCAGCTTATTTAATAGTCACTTCCAGGGGTTTAAAACAGAAAAATTTTGGATAAAGTAAAAACAAATCATTCATCCAGTGAGCTAAGGAAATATTTGTGGCCTAAAATAATCACGTATCAATTGATTTATCTTAAGGATGTGAGCCATCATGTTATTCCACTCAGGATTTACATTAAGCCTGGAGTTCTGAGTCTTAAATTACCATCTGAAGGTCATTCAGTCCCCAAATTGGATGTCAGTCAAGCTGGAAGATATTAATCACTGGCTTTTTGACTGACAAATGACACGGCCACAACAGCAAGCAACCCCATCTGATAGCAACTGACTGCAGGCAAGGACAGTGCAGGAATATAAATATTTTCTGCAAAATTTTATGTGAAATGTGAAGGTTTTAAGCGAATTGGTGAGGAGGTCACTCCAGATATGTAAACAGCATTTTACAGCCTTTATCCAAGGGGTTTTGTGTTATGACCGTTACACTCTTTCCACAAATCAGTAGCTGGGAATGGTCGCCAAGAAGCAGGGGTTGTCTTGGCCAGTTTTAGATGTTCTGCCGTCTTTTGTTGTGGATTAATGACAAAAATTCTTGCAGATCCTTAAATTCTGTAGCAAACCACCTTGCGATTAGACCATACAGGTGAGGTTCAGGTACCAAAATGCCTTTCAAAAATCTAAGAACTAAGTCACAGGCCCAGTTAGGGCTTTCTCTGCTCTGACAAAGAGGCCAGATTCAATTAACAGATCCCAGTTAACTCCAGTCTCATCTCCACGTTGCCTTGATGTAGACAAATTCTTTAAGGATAGGGCATTCTGGTCCGAGGCAGCCTCCCGTCATCCTCTCCTGTCTCCTGAAAATTGCCCAAAGATACAAAATGGGTTATGTGCTCAGTGCATAGAAACTAATACTAAGATCATATTTTCGTAAATATTTACTCCTTTCAAACAGATCAAACAAAGAGTAATTCATTCACTTAGGTATAGTTGGCATATGTCATCGGGTTTACAAGTTACTTTTATTTAACTTAAACAACCGGTTAATTAAATTTAAAAAAAAAAAACCACAACATGCACATGCTTCAAAAGCTCAACACCCCATTAATTATAGCTCTGTCTTTTGAAAGTACCCCGAATGTTTCCAATCTACAGTGAGGTTTGTGCTAGACTCCATTCAGCTGCAGCCACTCAGAAAACTATTCAACAGTCTTGGGCAAGAATCCTGCATCTGGCTAAAAATGCTAGAGAAATTAGGTCTAGTGACAAAGTGTCCTTTGCAACTTACTGTGTCACTGAATTCAGTATTTCTGGGGAACTGATCCCCCTACACGATCAAGTTCTGCCAATAAAATACCCCGGCCAGTACAGCCGCCCTCTGAATGGGTTGAATCCACGTGTCATACTGGAACACATGGCCCCAATTCTCCCCTCCTTGTTTGAACCCTGCTCAGGGTAACCTGAGAAATTCAGCAGTGGCTTTTGAGCAGAACAGAATTTAATTTGCACCTTTTTGAGGTAAGAACCCACTGATGCAGAGCAAATGCTAAGCACGGCAGAGCTTTACCATGGAACAGACCACCTTCAGCGGGAAGGGTGGTGGCGGGTGTGTAAAATATCTAAAATAGCAGCTCTCCTCTCCTCAGAGAGAAATCTCACCCAGGCTGTCACGTACTGTACCTCGGTTACTGCAAAACCCTTCCCCAGTGCAGTCGTGCCCTGCTTATATCCACCCATTTCTGTTACATCATTTCCCAATCCAGAATTGCTTTTCCCCACGTAGCTCTTCACTGGCTCTTATCCTGGTAGAAATGAGATCACTCTCTTCATTTGCAAAAGCTTTCACGTCCTACCCTACTTATCCAACATTCAAATACATTCCCAAATCCACTCGACTTGTAATGCCAGCCTCCGCTGTCCACTTGATTGGTTTTCAAACCAGTGCATTTCCATGCCTTAAAATGTTCCTTTTGTCTCCTACAGCTATCTCTTGTCTCTTTTTTTTTATGCTTAGTTGTTGCCCCCTGCACACGTGCCATATTTCCAAGGCCACAGAGCAATCTGCTTTACAACTAAGAGACCTGAATTCTACGTGAGTAGCAAATACTTACCATTTGAGATTGAGCGTTAGAAAGGCAGCCCTTAGTCCGTGTTTCTTACAGCACGGCGTTGCCAGCGCATTCAGCTCCTCCTTCCCAGCCAGCTGAAAGCTGGACACTGCTGAGCCAAGACTTCAGGTTTTCTCCTGCACTTCTAGCTCCAAATCAGGTCCATAAAGTTCACATGATCTTCCTTTCGTCCTGATCGGTTCCTGTGATGGAACAAATCTACGTTTTTCAAACATGAGGACAGACACGATGAGGCATCAAAATCCCTTTCAGAGGACAGTCTTTCTGCTCATGAGTCACAAAAGCATGAACCCCACAGCTGGTGTCTACCCAATTCCCACACTATTCCTTTTAAAGTACAAAATCAAGGGTAATCATCGAATCCCAGACTGGTTTGGGTGGGAAGGGACCTCAAAGCCCCTCCAGTGCCCCCCCCTGCCCCGGGCAGGGCCACCTTCCCCCAGCCCAGGTTGCCCAAAGCCCCGTCCAACCTGGCCTTGAGCCCTTCCAGGGAGGGGGCAGCCACAGCTTCTCTGGGCAGCCTGTGCCAGGGCCTCACCCCCCTCACAGGGAACAATTGCTGCCTCAGATCTCATCTAAATCTGCCCTCTGTCAACTTAAAACTGTTCCCCATCGTCCTATCCCACCCCTGATGACAAGTCCCCCCCCCTTTCCCGCAGCCCCTTTCAGCCCTGGGGGGCTGCTCTAAGGTCTCCCCAGAGCCTTCTCTCCTCCAGCTGAACCCCCCGGTAGGTTTGTGTACTGCCACGTTTGCATGCCCCCACCTTGGCAGCCAGTGACACGTATGAGACGAAGCAAAGCCGGGATTTGACATGCTCCTTCAGCCTTGTATCCGAGCTGGAAACATATCTCCAGGAAGAGAAGCCACTGTAAAGGTCACGTAGCCACGGTCTGTGTTGCACTCTGGAGCCTGAAAGCTCATCTTCCGAAGTAAAAATAAACATAAACAGGGATGACTCACCAAGGCGTATATTTTTTTATTATTACCACTGCATCCCCAGTTTCCTTGTTCAGAGGAGCATGTAAAGCACATAAAGCCAAAGCACATAAAGCTAATTTTAGAATAAAGCCAGTAGCTGTTATGAGGCGGTAAAGTAAAAAAACACCAAACCAAACCCAATAAACAAAGCAAGCTCCTGGTCAGCAAGCGAAGAGGGAACTCGCTGCGCAGGAAGTCTCGGTGCATCATCAGGGCCGAGGAGCTCCCTGCACTCCCCAGGGAGCATCTGCAGCTGCTCCGGGGAGCCCAGGATCCGCCGCTGGCACACAAGGGTCCCTCCGCAGCTGATACCAAGTGCTGTCGGTAGCAAAATGGAGCTGCTCTTCAAATGCTTCCACTGAGGCTTGAATAAAACAGCCCCAGCCTTGCCGGGGAAACCTGGGGAGAATAATTTGCTCCACAGGCTTTCTTAACAGAAAAGTCTTCCCTCTCACTCTTCCCCCGCAGAAGAGATTAACACAAGGATTTATAGAAGAAGCAAAGCATTGATTCAAACTGGACCCTGCTAGATAAAAATTCTGCCCCCAGTGTACCTTAGGAAGGGCTTTATATTTACCATCTCCCACAGGCTTCAGACAACAGGACAACACATTCTAGCATTCACTGTTCCTCTTCATTGTACCCCGTTAACAATTTGCTGTTAAAGGTGTGGTGAAAACCACCTTTTTTTATCCCCTGCAGGAAAATGACCTTATCCACCCAGGTAAAAAAAAGATTGACAGGTGTTGGGAGCTGGGAGCTGCAGCTGCACTTGGAGGGAGACCATCGCTTTCAGTCAGCTGCAGACTGCCTTTGCTTTAGGCAAAACAGGCTCAGAAACTCTCAATTTGCCAGCCTTAACAAATTTTATTATAAATAACTTCGCTTCTCTCTGCTCCTACCCAAAGACCAGTGTCCCATTTCCCCGACAGTTTCGTATGGCGTTAGGCACTGTGCGAAGGCTGACAGGAAGCCCGTTTGGATGCTGCATTGCAGAGAACGTAATCCAAATTATTTTGGCTTCTTTTAATGAGAACGCCTGCGCTCCGCAGGTTGGCTGCCTGGCGCGGTGTAGCTGTACCCACAGACTCTTTGGGGAACAGCCACTCTCTGCTCCCAACTTGCTTTTCTGCTGTTACTTGACTTCCACCTGCTTTTAACGGCACGCGTGTGAGTGGCTTTAGGCCTGCCCGTTACAAAAGCCCAGCCCCGTGGTGGTCGGCACCAACTTTGCATCCAGCGCTCTCATCTGAAGGTTTGACTTGTCCTGGATTCGCACCTGGGCCAGGCTGAGTGGAGAACACGACCAAATTGAGGTTTTGCCCTTTTGGAGATGGATGTTACGCCAGCAGGGTTATCTGCAAAGAAGTAACAACGAACAAACAAAAAACCAGCAGCCCGCTAAAATAGAAAGGAGGCTAAAATTCAGTTTGTGAAGTTTTACGTTGTGCTTTGGGCATTTTTCAACTTGTTTCTATTATCGCGGGGGCTAGAAAGTTATTTTCACGTAGGAAATTAAAATACTGAAGCTCAAATTATTATCCGGCCTTATTCTTTGTGATCAGGGGTTTTAAGAGTGCATCTGAGTGCTGTAAGGCTTAGAATCAGCTTGTGATTAGCACATTAGCATTCATTATATTCATTTAGACGTTAAGAGTCTGAATATTCTAAGACTGAGAATCGCTTTGTCATTAGCAAATTAACATCCGTTTTTGGAAGTCCCTTTTTCATGAGTACAAAAGGCAGTAGAAATCGAGAATCTTTTTTTTTGCTCCTTACTCGTTTTTCCTTGCTTCTGCTTACTTACCAGAGAGCCTCCAGAGAGACCGGCCCGCTAGCACGCTGCCCGTCCCGCCCTGCCACGGGGTGATGCCTGCAGAAGTGATAGGAGGGGGGCTCTGATTCAAAGTTCGGAAGAATTTGAGTGTGTTCTTGAAGACATCTGCTCGCTTTCCCCCCGTAGGCACCACATGAGCCTGGCAGTAAGGCTGTCCTGCGTCTCCGCACAGGGCTGGGCAGAGCTTCGGCCCGGGCACAGACACACCGGGCCCCAGGGACTGTGAGCTCGGGGAGCGCCGCAGCACGTCCCTCTGCACACCGGGCGAAGCTGGAAGCCTCCTGGGGACCCGAGGAGGTCCTTCCCAGAGGAAAGCAGGTTTCTTCGTGCTATCTCCCTACGCGGAGAGCGCCCAGCCAGGAGGTTTGTCTCTCTAGTGCAAGGACTTTCCTCTAGTCCTGGCACGTCAGGAAATGGAGCAAAGCCCCGAGGTTAACCGGGAGCAACTGGGTGCTTCTGGAGAGGACGCTCTACCCTGCACACCAGCACCTCCAGGGACCCATGCTCGGCACAGGTCTGCCTTTCCAAAGCAGCTGCACAAGCCACCCAACTCAATGTTGATATTTATTGAAAAAAATATCCCTCAACCCTCTTTCAGTTCATCATTTATCTGGCTCTTGGTGTGGCAAGAAGATCAATGGCTGAAGTACAAATGACAGCTTATTAGAGATGTTTGGGAGCAAGTGGCTCGTCGGCCAGCTGCTCTCAGGGTCATTCTCCTCAGAGCTAATTTTATCTCTTGAGGCTGCACCGGAGGAAGTGAAGCACAGTTCACTGTGAGGGGATCCGTTCAGCCCTGATGTACAATAAGGTCAGTCCTTCCTTTTACCATGAACCCAGCACCATCCCCGCTTTGCAAAAACCAGCAGCAAGGTTCTTAGGATCATTTTGCTTTAAGCTTAAATAATTCGAATTTATTAAACAGGAATTACGCGCTAAAGCAGAATCGGTCAGTCTGTTTAAATCCTATTTCTGAACTCAGATTCAAAGCAGGCAGTGAGCTGGTTGCAGGTTGACACTTCCAGCCAGGAAAAAGAACATGCAAATGTCAGATTGCTGAGCTAAAACAATGAGCAGATGGCCCTTCTAGTGGGGGAGGGCTCCGGGCCTCCAGCTTTACAACAATTATTTTAAGTTCTGAAAGTGATACAAAAACCAGGAGCCCAAATCTTTGTGCAAATCCTTGAGTGCAACCTTGAATGAAAACGAGAGACACAGCCTGGATGCTGACAGCAGAGTGGGGTGTTTTCTTCTTGCCCCTTGTTGTCCACCGGTGGTGGGTGGGTTGATAGGAGCGCAGACACCTGACCGGGGGTCACAGGGAGCCAGCCCAGGTCCAGCCGGGCTTCTTCGGCCAGGCAAAGCGTTATCCCCATGAAACCCTGCTTTGCCAGTTATCAGGCCTGGCCTAAAGGGCACAGGCGGCACAAAGATGAACCAATAACCAGACTGTGTTGGATACAAAAGGGTCAGCACATGGGCGAGCGCTGGGGGCACAGACCAGTCAGTCAGATCATAGCTAACCGACATCAATCCCACTGCCCCCAACAACGACCAGCACGGCCAGCAATGGGGGGATAACTGGTGACACGCCGTCTGCCAGAGAAGGGACGGGAGACAACCGGGTCAACAACCCAAACACATCAGACCAGGGAAGCCCCACACTGAATGTCGGCACAGCCCGCGTTTACAAAAGCCAGAGCTGCCCGGAGCCCAGTCCCGGGGAGGCGGGAGGTCCTTCCCCAGCAGGGAACTCTGCCCAGGGCGTCCCCCTCACACAGAGCCTGCCCCTCCTGCCAGGGGTCCCCGCTGTTATCCCTTGGGGGACGCCCGGCCTTGGGATACTGACTGCGGGACCCCCGGGGCTCCTTCACCCAACGGCTGTCTGCCAGGCCCCACCCTGGGGGGAGCCGAAAGGGAAACTCACCCCCCTGGGAAGGGCTGGGGGAGTCACCCACATGTCAGCCTGAATGTGGGGGTGAAACTCCAGCACTGCAGACCCAAGCAGGCCAGTCTGTTGCAGGATCAGCTCAGAAATCTCCGCACGCTCCTCGACAGTTGTGTTATTAAACCTGATAGAGGCGTGACTGGAGGAACCACGTTGCTTCAAACCGTGTACTGCTCCAGGGCCTGAGCTGGCGCTTTGTATTTTCTGGAAAGTGAAATAGTGGGGAATACGGTGCAGTGGCAGTCAAGCCAGATGCTTGATTTTTTTGATATTTTGACATTTAGGACCTGGTTTTGCTGCAGAAGTACCGGCTGTGTTACATACAGAGACATGCTGCTTAGGGATGTGGTTTAGTAACGGAATTGGCAGCGTGAGGTTAACGGTTGAACTTGATCATCTTAAAGGTCTTTTCCACCCTAAACGATTCTGTGATTCTATGATTCTCCTTTGAATTTTTCGCTATTCATATCCCGACCTTCCATTACTTCTGATGGTGAAGGACTGATTGTTCTTCCTGGGCTCAGTGAAAGGTTCCTGTCAGCGTTTCTCTGTGGGTCAGTGACGAGGGTGAGGATGACTTCTGACGGACACCGGGTATGTCTGCAGAGCTCCCATCGCGGACACAACTGCACCAGCCAAACCCTACTTGGT